TGCCTTGTAATTTCTTAGTCAAGTAATTTTTTTTCTTCCTGTCCTATTGTTGAAATACTTAATCACATCCTATCCGTATTATCTATTTGGGAAGCAATCTGATCACCTGCAGTGCAACCTATTTCACTCTTCTTGAAGGAGAGATAGACATTAAGAGCTGATGAACTAGAGAAGCTGAGGTACTAGCTCACCTAGCCAGGGATGTCTTTGGTTGTGGGTCTGCAGCTTGAGGTTTGAGAATCACTTATGCACAGGAATATGAACTCCATCATATCCTGATATGTATTTAAGCAGTTCCTTTGATTTCAAAGGGGATCTGGGGGTGTAATGACTTTGCACATTTTAGTGTCTATCTTTAGGCACTACGTGTAACTACTGCAATGTGTGTGTATATTCTGTTGCAGGAACCAACACACTCATTCTGACTGTTTACCACAGCATGAAAGGACAGGAAGAAATACTTGAGACACTTGTATCAGAAAGAGGCTCACCTTACATCCAGCTACTTGATGCAATGAGTCATGCTAGAGATAGCTGTTGCAGTGCCCACACTTCACCTTAGAGCAGCAGCTGCTGTGAGAACAATTAGCTGATATCCTAAAGCCAGCATGAACACCAGAGACCTGTAACCTGCCTTAAGTGAGACACTGCCTTTAGACCTCCTGACTGCCCAGGTAAGGGATCACACTGAAACAACCACCCACATTTCAGCTCTAGCACACTTTAGGAAGCTCTTTATCACAATCCATCTGCTGGAAAAGCCAAGTGACAAGCCTTGCTCCTATCCAAACTTTCCTCCAGAGGTATTGGAGACTGACACATCCCCTTTCCAAAGAAAACCATTAATAAACTCTCAGGCACATTTGCCTCCATTTGACATCTCCCTTGCCCTCCTCCGGCCACAGTAAGAGGCTGAGGAGTCTTTAGAAATTAATTTAGATCATGTGGCTTTGTAAGATTTTACTTATTATCTGTCAATAGCATTTTTGAATAGGAAATTACATTTCCTCCAGCCTCAAAGAAGTACCCATCTTCAAAATGAACCCTGATGGTCCTTCTCCAGAAAAAAAAGAATATAAATCTGAGAATAAGCATATTCTGAACAACATTGAAATATTAACCTGTACTGGTTTCTAGTTACTTATTTGGCCAAAGAACCCATGGTTGACACACATTTTTACACAGGCAGAAGAACTAAAGTCTGAAAAATACTGACTTAAATATAAGCAGAGGAAAACCAAATGAAAGGCTTTAGGATGTAAATTATGAGTACTGTTACTGTGTTTCTCTTTCCATTTTTCTTGCTCCAGAAGATTACAGGCAGTCTTTCCTTAATGCCCTGTAATAGGCACATGTGAACACAGTCCAAGGTAACAATTTAAGTGGAATGTTGTCCGAAACCTAGGCACAACCTGCTCCACTCCTTTAGAAGTTGGAGCAGGCACTCCATTACCTGCACATGAAACTCATTTGCTCACATTCAAACTACACCATCACGACAAACAGACATGTCTCTGTTAGGAAAAGAGTTGTGTGGGTTTTGGCTGGAATAGAGTTAATTTTTTTCTTAGCAGCTGTGGTTTGGATTCAGTATGAGAATAATGTTGATAACAGACTGATGTTTTGGTTGTTGTCAAGCAGCGCTGACCCTGAGTCAAGGATTTCTCATTATCTCAGGTGCACAAGAAGCTAAGGGGATAGCATGGCCAGGACAGATGACCTGGACTGGCCAAAGGGATATTCCAAACTATAGAACATCTTGGTCCATATTTAAAATCAGGGGAGTTGGCCAGGAGCTGATGATGGGCTGGGCATTGGTCAGCAGGTGGTAAGCAATTGAATTGGGCATCAGTTTTTTCTCTAGTTTTTTATTTATCCTTTTCCTTTGTCCTGTTGTTAAACTGTCATTGTCTCAGCCCATGGTTTTACATTTTTCCAGTTCTCCTCTCTATCCCACTGGTTTGAAGGGTCTAGTGAAGAAGCAGCTGCATTGTACATAGCTGCCAACTGGAGCTAAACCACGACAGCACTACTGAAGAAACTGCAGAGTCCTTCCTTACATGACCTAACCTTGTCTGTCCTTCCCTGTGTTCAGATCCACTGACAGTTAGGGAGATACCTCTACACAATCTGGAAAAGATAGCCCATTAGTCCATGCTCAGCTCATTTTTTTTCAAGTCTGCACTGCTAATGTCCTCTCTTTGGACAGCATTACAAACACAAAATTACCTGTGCAAATTTCTTCAGAAGAACTTTCAAAGCCAACTTCTACGTAATTTAATCTGTCTGAAGTCATGTCCTGAGTGGTTACTGAACGTAAATCCCCAAATCTCTCCATTCCCTATCCAAAAGCAGAAGATTATCAGTTTCCAAAATTAAGTTGCTGTTTAGCTCACTGGTATGATCTGAAATTAGGGCACCTAACAATAATACACTGTTATATACAATGATATATTTTGACTCCCAAAGTTCTTAGTAGATTAGAAAACATAGCCTTAGCATATAGTGCTAAGCACTTTAATTACTGACTGGGTTTAGTACAGCTTAATAAAAGCCTTCTCTGCAAACCCTATTTGAATTTCCTTGATTAATGCAAGATGTGATGCCATTGCAGTAGGGACTGAAACCGTTCTTTACCCATCAGGTAAACCCATCTTTACCCCTCCATACACCCTGTAGAACAGCAAAAGCAGAACACTTTTTTTCCTCCCCAGTGAGATTCTGTAAGATAGTATTTCGAGAAAACTAGCAGAGTAGAGGAGATCACCCATCCACAAAGAGGCAGAGACGCAAACATTAATCTGACAGGCCTTAAAATTTTAATTGTTTATCTGAAGACAGATATTTCTAATCTCTGCTAGATTTTACCCAGGATCCCTTTTCCCCCTCCCTTCCATAGTTTCGTCATGCCTTTCCCTTAAACCTGATGGTTCCTTTTTCAGAGTGGGCAGTCTCTAAATTGTGGCATATGAACTGTAACAACACTATTACAACATGGACTACAAAACTGGCTGAAACCCCCACCGAAACCACCCTAAGGGGATGTAAAAATGATCACACAGCAATCAGTAAAAAAAACAACGGAAGGTGACAATACCACAGCCCCAATACAGCTTCTGCTCCCGACTATCACATGATGGATGTGGAGATTACATTGTAAGGGTGTATTTGCCCAGGGATTTCTTTTTCCATGGTCCCTCTTTTCAGGCACTTGTCTGGAGCTACCAGGCATCATGACTGATTGGTGTCAATAAACCTATCTAATGGAGATGAGAACCCCATGTGAAAAAACTCTATTACACCTAGGTTTTAAGAAAATTAGGTTTGGGGATTTTTTTGTTCATCTTCTAATCCTGTGTCTATTGTAGCATAACTCCAAAATGGAAGTGCTACAATCTAATTGCCTTTTCTTGCAGTCAGATATCTCTTTTCCCACTAACCAGCAGTCTGGTTCTGTGAGCATGTGTGGCTATCAGATCTGATAGCCACATTTTACTGAGATCTGAGCCTCAGCCAGTTATAACTATCAAATATATAATATTGTTAAATTGGATTATAACAAATGATTCAGTCAGGAACATGCAGGAATACTGAGGGTGTGTATTTTCACAATGACAGCAATCATGCCTAGATCCCTTCTCTGTGGTGACTAGTGGCAAGACCCAAGGGAATGACCTGAAGCTGTCAGGTTCAGACAACGTAAGCCTGAGCAGGTTTAGGCTGGATATAAAAAGAAAGGGCTCTTTATCCAGAGTGTGGGGTTTGGGCACTGGAACAGCCTCTCTAGGGAAGTGGTCATAGCACCAAGCCTGATAGGGTTCAAGAAGCATTTGGACAATGCTCTTGGGCACATGGTGTGACTCTTGGGGTGTCCTGCGCAGGGAGTTGGCGTTGGGAGCTGGGACTCGATGATCCTTGAGGATCGCTTCCACCTCTGCAATTCTGTGATTTTCTGGTGCTAATCCCCGCAAAGATAAGGACTCCGCTGTGACAAGGCACAAGTGGAATCCGGTCGAACGACAGCTAACCAGTCCCTTCGCTCGTTCCGACGGCTCCACTACAACTTGGGGGTGTTAAGAGCCTTATCTATGGGCCGCTCCCGCTGCCTCCGCCGGGGCTCTGCCCCGTTGCCCCCGCACCGGGGGCGGGCCGGGCGGCGGCGCCGCTGCCGCGCTCCGTGAGGGAGCGGAGGCCGGGCCGCCCCGCCCCTGCCGCCGCTGCCGCGCTCCGTGAGGGAGCGGAGGCCGGGCCGCCCCGCCCCTGCCGCGCTCCGTGAGGGAGCGGAGGCCGGGCCGGCCCGCCCCTGCCGCGCTCCGTGAGGGAGCGGAGGCCGGGCCGCCCCGCCGCTGCCGCGCTCCGTGAGGGAGCGGAGGCCGGGCCGCCCCGCCCCTGCCGCCGCTGCCGCGCTCCGTGAGGGAGCGGAGGCCGAGCCGCCCCGCCCCTGCCGCCCCTGCCGCCGCTGCCGCGCTCCGTGAGGGAGCGGAGGCCGGGCCGGCCCGCCCCGCCCCTGCCGCGCTCCGTGAGGGAGCGGAGGCCGGCCCGCCCCGCCCCTGCCGCCGGCCCCGCCCCGCCCCGCCCCGCCCGTCCCCGCGGCCTGCGGCGCTGCCGGTGCGGCGGGGCGGTCTCTGCGGGCCGGAGCGGCGCGCTGGGGTGAGCTCGCCGCTCCCTCGCCCGGAGCCAGGGGAACGCGGCGGGGAAGAGGCCGGGAGGGATGCAGGGCGTGTTGCTGGCAGAGGGGCGGCGGGGCCCCGGTGCGGCCCGGCTCGGCCCTTCCTTCCTTCCTTTCCCTTCCCTCCCCTTTCCTCACTTCCTCCGGTGGCGGAGCCGCCGCTTTCTCCGGAGAGGGCGCGCGTTTGGCCCCTCGGTAGGCAGCCCGCTGCCCTGCTGTGGCGAGGGGGGCAGGGAGAAGAAGAGGAGGAGGAGGAGGCAGGAGGAGGAGGCGATGCCGTGCCGGGGGCGGGCTGAGCAGGGCGGGGGTCCGTTTCTGGGAAGGGGATCCCGCTCCGGGAGGGGTGCGGGCGGCGCTCGGGGGATGCTCTGCGGGCACGGCCCCCTCTCCCACATGCCCGGGGTCTCTCCTGCTGGCGGACCCGGAGGAGGTTTGCTTTTCCCCTCTCCTTGCGATTCCAGCCCAGCAAATCCATCCTCACGGAGGTAGGGCGACCTGTTCGTCCTGCTGGTAACGGTGTGAGCGAGCCGGGCCCTGCGAAGCCCCGGCTTCCATCGCGGGAAAGTGTGCTGAGGGTTAATTTTGGCGTCGGGCTGAATTTCGGCGGCTTCGGAGAGGCACTGCCTGCGTTCAGCATCCGAATTTAAAGTGGGCCACACACTGCTGAAGTGCAGCGTTTTTAGCCTGTGCTGAGGGTGACGCTGGTACGTCTGCAGAGAGAGCTGGTTAAACCCGCAGCGTTCCGTCTCCAGCAGCAGTTCAGGTTATTCCTTGATGGAGCGCTAACACTCAGCAGTTCCCAGTTCACTGTGGTCAGGTGTCAGTAGACACAGTGGTCGACTTTAACTTGGAAAATATTCACCACAAATACTAAAATGGTTTAAGAGCTTGTTTGTTTTAAAATTGTGTTAGTGTGCCCAAAGGCAGAAGACCATCACTGATATTTTTGCACAATTGTTGTCAATACTTTTTACTGTGCAAATGCATCATCTTAGTTTATATAATATCTATGTATTATATATATTGTGCTCAATATTAATTGCTGTGAAAACTGTCATTTTGTGCTGGAAATCATAGTGATATTGTTAGTGAATTCAATATTGTGAGAAGACTCATTTCTATTTGTAAGTCTGTAGTGGCACTACTATTTTTAGTAGATGTTTTTCACCAGCTTTGCAGTTTTAAGTAGGCCAGATGCAGAGTGATTTGGGTTTTGTTTGTTTGTTTGCTGATGATAGTCAGGGCCAGTTACTTTGCATAAAATGCACTAGTGATCCTCTTATTGTGGCACAAATCCATAATTTTAAGGTTTTTTTTTATTCATGTGTTAGACACTTTCAGGATGAATGTTGCTTTCTATAGACTTGGTATATTGAGAAAGATACATATGACCTTCTAGCAGCACTAGAATTTATGAACTACTAAACTCAGTTCAGCTGGATTAGGCATTTGTTTCTGTGCATTTGGGCTTGAGTGTGATTGTCTTGATCCAGTGTGGTCTAATTTTCATAAATTCTCAAGTGCTTAGCCATGATTTTTTTGAAATGAATTTAGCACAATTGTTCTAGGCCTTCATTCATGAGAAAGAATGTATTTAGACTTTGACATTTTAAATTTTGTCAGACCATCCTAGCTAAACATTCAGTTTTTAAAACATCTTTGTTAAAATGTTTTACAGGGCATAACCTAGTTTCTAGTAAGCACGGCTAATGGATTTCACTCAGTGAATTAAGTCAGCATGGACAATATTACCAGTGATTTTGCAGAGGGTATTGATGACATGATAATGGTAAATCACACTTAGGATC